ACCCCATGGCAGCCTTTGATCCATATGAGCATGAGCAACCCTAGTATCACTTTTCCTCCTCTGTAAAATGGATAAACCTACTTTCAGGGTCGTCATAAGGTTTAGAAATTGTGTACATGTAGGGTCTGGAATGCAATAAGTGAGTAGTAACATTTACTACCATTTACTCCAACAACTCTTTGAGGTAGGTACTGTTATCTCCATTTTACAGATGAGAAACTGAGATAACTGCCTAAGATTAGTGAGTGATGGAGCCAGGACTAGAGTCCACACTATCAACCTAAAAAAAAATATAGTTGCCATCATTATGATTATTTTGTATTTCTATGCTTTGTTTCCGTTTTTTTGGTGAGGAAGATTGACCCTGAGCTAACATCTGTTGCCAATCTTTCTCTTATTGCTTGAGGACGATTGTTCCTAAGCTAACATCTGTGCCAATCTTCCTCTATTTTGTATGTGGGATGCCGCCACAGCGTGGCTTGATGAGTGGAGTGTAGGTCCACACTCAGGGTTCCAAACCCACGGCCACCAAGGTGGAGCATGCAAACTTAACCACTACACCACTGGGCTGGCCCATGCTTTGTTTCCTTTTGAAATTGCCTGTCCCCATCATTCAAGACCCAGCAACCTCCAGAGAAGACTTACCTTCTCCTCTCTGGTGTGTACTCCTGCTACAGCCCACATTATATTTCCATTATCTGTGGCCATTCTGCTCCTGGAAGAGCTCGTGGTCACTTTAGCATTTCTGTTGCCTAAGCAAGGAGGCTAGCACATAGTAGGTGCTCAGTAATGTCTGAATAAACAAATGAACAAGACAACGTCATACCACAGTTCCATGTTGTCCCCACACCACCATCCTGTTCACAGGATCATGTTCTGTGCATCCTGGGGACTGCTACAGTGTGAGCCTTCCAGGGAATCTTCCTCCAACTTGTGGTCTCTCCTATTTCTTCCACAGGAGTCCTTCCAGCACAGGATTCCACAGAATGAGTCTGTCTTCTTCACTCCTCTCCAGAGTCTACGACAAGTCTATGCGACAGAAGAAGCCACACTGTGGCTTAGAGACTGAAAGCTGGGCCGCTTGCCTCGGAGTTGACTCCAAATCATCCTCGCATCTCCAAGGGCACTGTGTGGCCTCAAAAAATAGTCAGCTGGAGCTGCTGGCTCTGAAGGCCAGCCAAGCCCCTGTGGTTTGGCAGAAGAAGAGGTCATTGTCCAGCTAGGAAGTGGTCCTGGGGTCTCAGCTGACCCTAGATTTTTCCAGGCAGGGCAAGGGCTCATAGCAGCAGAACTGAAGGCTCCCCATAGGCTCACAGACAATTCCACTTCTCCAGGGGGCTGTACATCGCTCTCCCTAGGCGGGCTTCCTGCCCCAAACCCCACAGATTTTAGCATCACGTGCCTGGGGTACTAAGAGATTTGTTGACCTGATGACAGCAACCAAGCTAGTCTAGCTTCCCATCATTTACCTGGAAGGAAGTGGGTGATCCCAGGAGCTGAGAAGCCCTGCAAAGCAGAGGCCAGGAGAAGGCTCAGCCACAGTCAGACAGGAGGTTAAGCCTTGCTACTCCAAAGAAAGGGAGAAGAACAAGAGAACAGAGACCATGTCTTCCGTGTGCAGCAAAATCATAAGCAACCCAGGAAAACCACAAAATTTAACATGAGCCTGGGCAGTGGCCCAGCTTAACAGATGATCTCAACTTGGACACAGAGGCTTTTAGACAAAAGGAGCACAAAACTCCCACAAGTTTCTCACTAGCGCTAGGAAAAGCATTTAAGAACTGTCGCTTACAATGGCCTCCCGCGGGGTGAAAGTGGGATGGGACTATGGGAAAACTGCAGCCCTGTCACTCAGCCCCGGTGGCACAAAGAGCTTTGGGGTTTAAGCTGAAGTCATTGATCCCACGGTGGGTGGTGTTTGATGTAATGTGAGAAATGACTTGGTGTTCCTTAAGGCTAAGTCCTATAACTCCTCCTTTCACTCCACGTTCTCTTCTGGGCAAGCTCATTACCCCCTATACACGGAAAACTCATTTATTTATTTTTCCAGCCCAATCCTCTCACCTAAATCTCACACTCATGGGTCCAAGTGCCTATTCAACATGTTCTCTTGGATGTCTCAAAAGCACCTCAACAGGCTGGCCCCGTGGCCGAGTGGTTAAGTTCGCATGCTCTGCTTTGGCAGCCCAGGATTTCGCAGGTTCAAATCCTGGGTGCAGACCTAGCACCACTCATCAGGCCATGCTGAGGCAGCATCCCACGTACGACAACTAGAAGGACCCATAACTAAAATATATACAACTAGGTACTGGGAGGCTTTAGGGAGGAGGAGGAAAAATTAAATCTTAAAAAAAAAAAAGCACCTCAAACTCAATATGTCCAAAACCAAACTTATGACCTTCTTCCCAAACCTGGTTGTCTCCTAAACTCCCTATCTGGGTGAAGAACCCTCCAAATAACCCTGTTGCCCAAGGCAGAAACAATGGTGCCATCTGACCCCTGCCTTTCTCACACCATCGAATCCAATCTTTTGGAATTTGCCTCCTAAATCTCTCTTCATTCCTTCCACTTTTCTGCCTCTCCTATCACAACCCTAGTCCACATTCCCTTCTGACTAGATGGCTGCAATCATCTCCTAGTTTCCAGGCAACCACTCTGGGCCCTTCTAATGGGTTCGCTACAAGGAGCCCCTCCAGCCATTCTTCCCCTACTTTACTCCTACTTCTCCTTAGGTCTCAGCTCAAATGGCACTTCCTCAAGAGAAACGCCTCTGGCCTCTCTGAATAGGCTAGTAACTCCTTCTTAGCATTAGACATAGTTGCAATTTTACATTCGGGGCCCCACCAGACTCTAAACTCTGAAGACCAGTATGTCTTTTTTTTTTTTTTTGAGGTTATGATAGTTTACAACATCGTGAAATTTCAGTTGTACATTATTATTTGGCAGTCGTCTTACAGGTGTGTCCTTTCACCCTTTGTGCCTGCCCTCAGTATGTCTTTTTTTGCCACTACTTTCCCAAGGCCATGCTCAGTGTCTTACACATTAAACACCGACATTTAATTTTTTTTTTTTTTGAGGAATATTAGCCCTGAGCTAACTGCTGCCAATCCTCCTCTTTTTGCTGAGGAAGGCTGGCCCTGAGCTAACATCCATGCCCATCTTCCTCTACTTTATATGTGGGATGCCTACCACAGCATGGCTTGCCAAGTGGTGCCACGTCCGCACCTGGGATCTGAACCGGCGAACCCTGGGCTGCCAGAAGCAGAACGCACACACCCAACCGCTGCACCACCAGGCCGGTCCCCAAAGACATTTAATATTTATTGAGTGAATGTCATTTACTGGTTTATACCCTGTCTCAACCCAATTAAGCTAATCATCACCACTCTCTTCTGGGCCAGTTACCTCCGGCATGGACTATTGCATTATATGTCTGTCTTGAGCTTGTCCTCCTCTGGTATATTCTCTATGCTGCAGCCAGAATTATCTTTTTAAGAAGCAAATTCAACCACTTAAAATCCTTCATTACTCCGAATAAAGTTCAAATTCATTAGCGTGGCCTCTAACACATAAACTGCTAGTTACCTACCCAAAAAACACTATCCTCTTGTTCCTTAGTAACATAACCCTGATTTTATCAAGACAGCAGTGTGCCCTGCTGAAGGACTATCCCAGCCTGCCCAGCAGCCAGGGTGCTTCTGAGAGGTTTGAAAGGTAGCAGAGGAATCAGATGCATTGGTCATTCAGTGACTTGAAAGGGTTATTGTCTTTCCACAGGCCAGAATTTCCTTTCTTCCAGATAATGCTGTGTTCCTATGTCTGTAAAACATCTATGAATGAAACGTTTCTCATATTAGCAAGTTCTGGCCAACAGATGAAAGCAGATGCTCCTGGTTGACACTTCTCAAAATGCCTCTTAAAGTGGGAATAGACAGCTGGCTGTGCCTTTTTTGCCCATCCCCAATTTCGCCTCCTGCTTTCTGCCAGTTTCAAGGACATGATGGCTGGGGCTTCAACAGCCATCTTAGACGTAAGATATCAACAAGAATTCGAGCCACCTGCCTGGGATGGCTGACCAAAGGAGCCAAAAAGAACCCTGGTGCCCAGTAACTATGGAGCAGCCATATAGCCCTGTACTCTGGACTTCTATATGAGGAAATAAAGTTGTATATTAAGTCACTGATATTTTACTAGCAAATTGAAACTGGATACAGGCTACAAAGCATTGCATCACATGCCCTTTGTCAGCCTCACCTCTCCCTTCACCTTCTCCTCAAATTCAACAATTCAGCCAACGTGAATGTTTTTCAGTTCCTCAGGGCTCTTTCTCTCCATTTAGTCATCCCAAGCTGCTCTTTCTGCCTGGATTACAGCCCCTACCAAGCTAACTCCTACTCATGCTTTGGATCTCAACTTAAAAATCAGCTCTTCAATGACCTTACAAACTAGGTTGAGCTGCTCCTAGGGCTGGCCCCATGGCCTAGTGGTTAAGTTCACATGCTCCACTTTGGCGGCCCGGGTTCACAGGCTCAGTTCCCAGGTGTGGACCTACACCACTTGTCACCAGCCATGCTGTGGTGGCCACCCACATGAGGGAGGAAAGTGACCCACATAGAGGAAGACTGGCACAAATGTTAGCTCAGGGTGAATCTTCCTCAGCAAAAAGAGGAGGATTGGCAACAGATATTAGCCCATGGCAGATCTGCCTCAGCCTACCCCCCAAAAAAAGATACCCCTATTTTCTGACACCTGAGTAGTTCTTGGTCATGTCACACTGTGAATCGTGGTATTTGATTTTCTCCTCCAGAGACAGAAGAACTCTGTGAAAGGCAGGGATACAGCCTATCTTGTTCAAAACTGTATTTCGAATGCCCAGCATAGATGTTCAATAAATAATTCTTGAAAAAATGGAGTGAGCGATGGGCATATGGTGTTGGTTAGAGAGCTAAGGAAATACAGTGGGTTTAATATCTTTGCAATGAGAAAAATGAAGCGGGATGGTTGGTATATTATTATTTGTTTATTATTTATACCGTGCCCTGTTCCAAAACAGGACGTAAGAAAGCAGGATGGCTGGAGTACCCACCCACTGGGAGTGCTAAGGAGTTCATGGCCACTTAGAGACACTGGTTTAGGAGACTCTATCAGAAGGCTGCAGGATAGTCTGGGGGAGGGAGGAGTGCTAAGAAAAGCAGTGGCATCTTATCCTACCTCTTCTTTCATCTCCTCGCTTGCAAGCCCTACGTCAGGAGAAAGCCAAAGACTGGTGGGCGGCTTGCAGTAGGAGAAGGTTAGCAGTAAAGCAGGGGATGGTTCGTTCTCAGAGAGGTGCACCATCCCACCCTCCCTTCCTCCCTCTGGTGCCTACTGCATGTAAAGAGTCTGGTCTTCTCTGAAGGGCTCTGGGGGAGCCTCGGGTCTCATGGAAGAAAAGCCAGCTCAGTCAGTCTGTAGGTGGAGAGCCACCGCTAGCTACAGGCTCCAGGCTCTGCCCCTTCATCACCCCCACCCTCCTCTTCGTCAGACTGTGCCAAGGGCGTGTCTGCTCCGCCGTCACTGGGATTGGGGCTGTGCAGGTTGGTGGATGAGTCAGAGGATGAAGAAGAGGTGCGGGATGCGGTCCTGTCTAGCATGGGCAGTGGCAGGCTCAGCTCCTCTGAATGGTCGTCCACCCCTGCCCAGAGAGAAGAGCTAGTCAGGGTCACAGATAGGGCTTCAGAGGCCTCTTAGAGATGATGTGGCCAGGAGAGACTAAAGCCCAGAGAGGGGCAGGGACTTGACCAAAGTTACTCCGCCAGTCCACCAAAGAGCCAGGGTCTCCTGACTCCCAGTTCCTTCCACTTCACTACACCACGTCTGGGTTCTAGAGTCAGGTTGATCAATTCAAGAGTTCAAGTTCTACCTACATCACCTACTTGCTACTGAGTAGCTTTGAGCAAACCACTTGCCATCTCAAGGACCCTGCTCCTTCTCAGTAAAAAAGGGACACCTACCTTCCAGAGGGTTTTGAGGATGAAATCTAAGAACGCTGACAAAATGTCTGGCACATAGCAGGCCATCAATAAATAGTAGCAGTTTTAAATAAGAGAATATCTATCTTATAGGTTAAGCATACCGGCTTTGGAGTCACACAGCCATGGTGTAAACCCAGCTTTTCTGCTTTCTGGCTATGTGACAACTTCTCTGAGTCTAATTTCCTTCTTTATAAAATGGAGATAATACCACCTGTCCTAATAGGACATTGTAAGGATTTAGATAATATATATAAAATACTTTAGCACAGTATTAGAAACCTAATGAAGTACTCAATAAACATTAACATTAAAATGACTAAAACTGCTTAGGTTGCCTAATATAAAAATTACATTTTTACATTATTTTAATTCCATTAATTCCATTAATTTCAAAAATGTAAAATTAACCAAGGTTAAGGAGGTTGGGCATTCCTAGAACTTTGGACTGGAGGTCTGTAACCCACTTCCTCTCAGGGCAACTTCCCTAAATCAGATCAGACAGCTGGGGGTGGAAACGCCCACTTCCAGCCCATACATGGAGACTTCCCCAGCCCAGCCTTGCAGCCTCACTTCAGAGCCCTGACATCCAGCTCTGGGTAACTGGTGCCCAAGTCCCCAAAGCACAGGGGCATACCAGACGTCTGGGGGGTGGGCGGAGGATCTTCACAAGGCAAGAACACGTCTGCTCCGTCCTGATCTCCAAGGTCAATAAGTTCCACTTGCTCCAGCGTGTCCACATTCACTTCCATGGATGAGATACTACCTATGGGGGCTACAGACCGAGAAGGGAGCGAGTCAGGAGGAACCAGGCTGGAGCCGATAGGATGGTCAGAGAGATGTCAGGTCCAGAGATAGAAGTTTAGAGGGCCAAGAAAACAAGAGGGGAGGGGAGCCCAAGATTCAGGACCCATAAGACTTCTCCCCTACCCCACCCTAGTCCTCCTCCCCAGGACTTAGAACTTACGTCTCTGCGACTCGAGATGCAGGTGGGATAGGGGGAAGACAAACTCGGTCTCTGGCTGTAAAATGTCCTCGAAGAATTTCTGCCGCTCCCGAAGGCGGAGCTGCTGGCGCTCCAGGGTTGCCCGAGGATTTGGGTCCATGTCAGCTCCTGGAGGGTAGAAGAGCGAGCACAGCTATGGAACGGAGGGGGACTACAGTGGGGGCTTGGGCTTGGGGAGCCCCCACTGGAGCCAGCATCTCAGCAATGGGGCCTCGGGTTCCAGCCTGGACACTTGTGGACTTGGTTACCTCCTTCCCCTTCCTGGAAACAAAGCTAATTACCACACACTCTAAGTCTCCTACAGAGGCGGGGCTACCCTAGCTCCACAAAGGGGATGCCAGTTCCAGGCACAGCAAAAGAGGCTGCTCTGTGTTCAGGGACACAGCCAATGGCCAAGTCTCAGAATCGTGCCCTTCTGAGAGCAGTTGGAGGGACTGGTCCAGCCCAAATGGGGGAGGCACTTCTACTTAATGGGCGAAGGCCAGGGAAGAGGACAGGCTAGAGATCTCAGGGTGGAAAGTCCTCTTGCTCCAGTGCTGCAATTCTGGTTCCGGCCCGTCTTCCAAAACCTACAAGAAGACAAAAGCACCCCCTCCTCTCCTCTCTCTTCACACACGCGCACACACACACACACGCACACCCATCATCACCATCTCCTCCAAACTCTGCTCTTAAGTCACAGACCTCACTTCCAGTTTTGGCTCTGTCCCTAAGAAAATCATCTTTCCAGCCTCATTAAAATGGCATAATTGTCCTACCTGCCTCAAACACAAGACACTGCTTGTGAAGGTGCTCTGTGAAATGTAAAGCTCTAATTCATGTGCTATTTAGAGGACGATCACCTCTTCTCTGTACTCCCACAGCTCTTTATTTGAGCTCCTCTCCTCTGACACATCTCACTGTTTCATCTTCCCACTAGTCAGTGAGTAGCAATTGGAAAGGCGGGTCCTGGGTCCAATTCAGATCAGGCCCCCAGTGCTGAGAGCTTTGCAGAAGAGAGCTCTGGGCCAGCCCAAGCCCTGTGCATTCACTCCCACTCGCTCCATCTCCTTCCTGGCATTCGCTCTGAGCTCATCACTGGAGGAAAGGGAGCATCTAGTTTGAGGACCAGATCGTCATCCTCCGCAGACTGCTTTCCCCACCTCATCTGGTTTCAGCGGATCCGAGACCCTGGCCTCCATAGGCGCGGGGGACGGGGTTGGGTCGCGAGGGACCCAAACCCAAGTGGGCCAGGCAGGGCCAAGGAAGTGTGGGGAGACCATGTGCCTGCGGGCTGGCAGTGGAGGAAGGCGCTGACGCCGATTCCTGGGAAAGGCTCTTAAAGCTGCCGCCCGGGTCACCACGCTAAAAATACCCGGGGCTCCTGGGGCCGTCTGCTCCAGCAGCGGGTAGGGGGAGGGAGAAACAGTAGATGGGCTGCTGACGGGGACCGGGGGATTCGGGGCGCCCCCTCTCTTTTCCCCTCCCCCTAACCCCATCAATCTCACGAGATTGCAGGGGCTGCCCCCAGGAGGGCCACGGAGCCGACGCTGGAGAGACGAAGGGAGTTGTTTACGCAACTAGAGGTGCTAGGGACAGGGGTGAAGACATTGGGAGAGATTTGGGGACAGGGGGCTGCCAGGGGCCAGTGAAATGGAGAGCGCCCTCTCGGTCTCTGCCCCACCCGCACTGGAGTCAGCAAGAGCGAAAGAATTCCCTAAAAAGGGACGCGCCGCGTCCGCGGGGGTTGGGAGGGGAGGCAGCGGAGGCCCCCCCACCGGCCGCTCCACTCGGGTCCCTGTGCCCCCCGCCTCCAGGCCCTCGGGCGGCACCTGCGCCCGCCGCCGCCGAGCCCCTACCTGCCGCGCCCGGCGCCCCCGCTGACTCAGTCTGTCCGCTCCGGCAAGACGGCGGCGGGGGCGTGAGAGCAAGCCGCGCCGGCCGGGGTGGGGCTGCGCCGGGTCTCCCCGGGGACGGACGGGCCCTGGGAGCCGGGAACGAGGAAGAGGCGGGAGGCGGAAGTGGGGGAGGGGCGGCGGCAGGCACACGCTCTCGTCTCTCGCCCGGCGGCAGGAGGGATCCCCTTCTGAGGTGATTGCTCGTACTTCCAGAGCGGGCAAAAAGTTCCCGGTACGCATCCTTCCTCCCCGCGACCAACCAGACCCCTCCGCACCCCGGCTGCCCCCCGCTGCCGCCGCCCGTGCGCTCGGCTCCGCGCGCTCGGATACATCTGCTGCGCCCCGCCTGCCCGCGCAGAGGCGCAGCGGGGACACGCGCGGGCACTCGGCCCACGCACACTTGCTGCTCCCCGACTCCCCGGCAGCCCCGAAGCAACGAACACGCACTCGCGCACCCTGACTCCTCGGCCACACTTGGCACGCTTACGCGCGCCCATCTCGAGCAGGCGCACGCAGAGAAAGAGAGGCTGGGTACCTGTCGGAGGGGGAGGGCGCTGACCCAGTGCCGCCCATCAGGGCAGGTGCACCGCGGCAGAGGACCCCCTAATCCTGGGACTCACCTGGCAGCCCCACGTTCCTGGATCCAGGACAGGACAGAGCCACCGCCCAGTCTTCCATGCACTGGGCGGAATCGGCGCCGGGACAGGGCGGGTCAGGGCTGGGGCGGGAGCATTGAAGCGGGCCCCCAAACACCGGCGAAGAGCCAACCCCCCCCCCCCCAGGGTGCTTGCTAAGAGGGGCGCTGCACGTCGGGGCTGGCGAAGGTGGAGGGGCGAGGCGCAAACTGTGGGCCGAGAGGGGAAATGCTTGCCCCCTCGCAGCGCCTCCAGATTAGCGCCAGAAGTGTCCAATATATCGGCTCCTGGACCGAGACTCTGCCCATTCTCTTCCACTTCCCTTCCACCCATCCCCTTGTGCTGGTAGCTCCAGAAGCCAGGAGGGCCGGGTCAGAGGAGGGGGGTGCCTGTCGGAGATGCTTCTGCCGCGGGGTCTCTTGATCATTCATACAACAAACAGCCTCGAGCAAGCAGGGAACTAGGAGTCATTCTTGGCACCTCTCAGTCCTTCGCTGCCCACATTAAAATACACCTCCATTTCCTGTCGATTTTCTTTCCTAAATGTCTTTCTAGAATGCACTATTCCTCTCCGCTTCCACCACCATCTCTCCCTTGGCTCTTACAGTAGTAGCCTTCTATCTGGTTTTCCTGTACTCACTCGGGCCCTGCTACCTCCATTCCCCACATAGCAGTCAGTCATCATTTCAAATCTTCTGATGTGCCACCCCGTGCTTAAATCCCTCCGCTGTTAGAATAAAATCTAGGCGCTGATACCTGAGCTGAGTCCGGAGGAACTAAGCTCAGCAAGCAGAGAAGAGGGGGAAGGACACGTGCCAAGGGATGGAGGTGTGAAAAGTCCTGACACATTCAGGTTCCCGGGTCAGGGCACCAGCACTCTACAGATGCCTACAGCACTGCCTCTTCTCTTATTATTGGGACCTCAAAACATCCCCGTGAGAAAAATACAGTAAACAGGGGCCGCCCCGTGGCCGAGTGGTTAAGTTCGCGGGCTCTGCTTTGGCGGCCCAGGATTTCGCTGGTTTGGATCCTGGGTGCAGACAGGGCGCGGCTTATCAAGCCATGCTGAGGCGCGTCCCACATGCCACAACTAGAAGGACCCACAACTAAAAGTATACAGCTGTGTACCGGGGGGCTTTGGGGAGAAAAAAGGAAAAATAAAATCTGTAAAAAAAAAAAAAAAAAAAAGAAAGGAGAAAAATACAGTAAACAGCTTTCCTACTGTTCTACAAGCAAGGAAACTAGTTTGTGGGAGGCAACAAGTGCAGTGGTTAAACGCACAGGATGGTAGTCAGACCCTCGACTGGTGTCAAGGGCAGCTAGTCTAGCTGTGCGTCCAGCCAGCTGTGTAAACACAACTTCTCTGATCCTTGAATTCCGTGCCTATTAGATAGGAATAATTAATCCCTACCTCTTAGGAGATAATTCATATAAAATGCTTAGTACAGGATTTGAGCACTTAGGAGAAGCTCAATAAACGTTAGCTGTTTTGACTGTAATGCCTTCAGAGAAAGGGAGGAAACTGCTTTCTTCCATGAATTTCTGAAATTATGGGAAGTACACCCTAATAGTTAATAGTTGTATAGAGCTTATTATGTACCTGTCACTATTATAAGTGCTTTGCAAATATTTACTCTTTTAATCCTCTTAACAATCCTGTGAGGTAAGTACTATTATTATTTCCATTTTACAGATACTATACTGAGATACAGACAGGTGAAGGCACTTGTCCAAGGCCGTAAAGCGAGCGAGTGATGGAGCTGGAATTCAACCCAGCTAGGCTGCTTCAGAGACTGTGCTTATAAGCACTACTCCCAGCTTGGTCCCCTTTTATCCTGTTGCAGTTTTCATCTTCCAGGAGACATTTTGGACAGTTTGATTCTTATTCCTCATTAATGGATGGAGCAGATACTTGGTCCCATTTCCTAGCACAGAGGAATGAGGGTAAGTAAGGAGTACAGTGGAGGAGAGCTCGGCTCCCAAAGTCACCTCTCCCGTTTTCAGGCTTATTCTTGGGAACAGGACTCCATAGATGTTTTTGACCTGTCCCCAAGATAGCGACAGATCAGGAAACTCTGTCCCTTCCCTTTACCAGATATTTGTCACATGAAGGGATGGAGGGGGAAAAATAATTCAGGAGGCTGACCTGGAAGGGTGTCAGCCAAGAGAAAGACCCAGGCAGTGGACCCAGGAGTGGATGGCAAGAGGTGTTGAAAGAAGCACTGTAAAAGAAATGGCTTGGATTTCTGGCTTCCATCTAGGACACAGAAAGCTGGGAAGAGCATCATTACCACACTAATAACAATATTAAAAAATTGTTAGGTAATCTATGAAATTATAACTTGTCAAACCCATCAGAGAGCTGAGGTTGCAGAGCCACCAGTTAACCTGCATTCCAAAGAAGAAGGAGCCTCCAAGAAGGAATGGGATGCAGGCACTGGCATACTGTGAAGCGAGAGGAAGACGGTGTCTCCATGCAAGCGGTAAGAAGAGTTCAGCTACAATTTTTATTGAATTGCTAAAGGCCCAGTGGGGCTTACATGACCATACAGAATCCATGGGAGTCACAGACACTAAAAGTAATCATAGAAACAACAAAACCCAAACATAGTTCAACTCCTGACAAGATTGACTCAATCCTCCACACTAATGGCCTGAAAAAAGAAGAGAGACGACAATTTCCAGGCATAAATAATATTGACCTCAGTCTCTACTGTTCTACACATTATGTCAACAAATCAATCAAAAATTACAATTCACACACAAAAAGCAATTTTAAAAACCCAAAAAACAAAAAGCCCTATTGTCAATCATCAAAGCAATTAACAGAATCAAATTCAAGACACAGATAATTTTCTAGAGTTATGTGACAGAGAATTTAAAACAACTATAACAGTATGGGAAAGGCTCTGTTGGAAAATATGGACAACATGTATAAATAGAAGGGGAATCTTAGCAGAGAGATGGAGACTGTAAAAAACAGTCATATGGAAAATTCTAGAAATTTAAAAAACATGTAACAGAGATGAAGAATCCTTTGGCAGGCTCATCAGTAAACTCAACACAGCTGAGGAAAAAAATCAGTAAACTTGAAGATAGGTTAATAGAGACTAGCCAAACTGAAACAGAAAGAGAAGAAAGAGTGAAACAAAACAAAAAACCAGAAGATCCAAAGCTAACATATGTGTAATTTGAATCCCAGAAGAAGAGATAGAGATAAACACACACACACACACATATTTGTAGAAATAATGGCCAATAATTTTCCAAAAATAATGAAAAAAAACACAGAGCCACGAAATTCACAGAATCCAAAAAAGATTAAATGCCAATGCACAACACACAGACACATAAGTAAATACACACACAAACAAAAAATATGATCTATCATATTCAAACGGTTGAAAACCAAAGATAAGGAGAAAATCTCGAAGGCATCTAGAGGAAAAAGACACACTGCCTACAGATGAACAAAGATAAGAGTTATAGCAGACTTTTCATTAGAGAATAAGTTATATGACCAGAAGATAATAGAGTGATAGCTTTAAAATACTGAAAGAAAAAACTGTTAACTCGGAATTCTATACCCAGCAAAAATATCTTTCAAACATCAAGGAGATTCAAACCCTTTTTTTCAGGTGAACAAAAACAGAAAATTCATTCCCAGCAGATCAGCGCTACAAGAACTAGAAAAGAAGTTCTGGAGGCAGAAAGAATATGATATTAGAGAGAATTTCGGATCTACCTAAAGAAATGAAGACCTCTGGAAATGGACAGAAAAAGGTAAATATAAGAGACATTTTTCTGTTTTTAATGTTTTTAATCACTTTAAAAGATAATTAATTGACTGTCTAAAGGAGAAGAGTAGCAATATATTGTGCATGTACAACATAAGTAAAAGTAAAATGTATGACAACAACAATAGTAAAAACGATGGGATGAGGAATTGGAAATATTCTGTTAAAGGATCTTTCTGCTATAGAAGTGATATATATATAAGAAGTGATATACTATCATTTGAAGATTGTGATTAATTGAAGAGATATATTGTAAATGCAAGGGCAACCACTAAAAACTTTTCTTAAAGAGGTATAAATAAGAAGCCAATCATGGAGATAAAATGGAATCATAAAAATATTGGCAGGCATCCTCCCTGGGCCTCTTTGTGTCCAACACTTCTTGTTGAGTATGTCAGGATTGCAAGGGTCTGACTGCTCTTTCACCTGGGCCCTTGCTCAGGATTGTTAATACGGCTGGCAATTTTGAGAGATGAGGTCATGGCTTTCTCAGAAAAAGGCAGGCTTGCTTACTGCTTGCTATAAAAGTGCTAGGTCTTGGTCCCTTAGCCGCAACACAAACCCACCGTGAGTGTACTGTGCATCTGGACACTGTATCACTTGTTGGACTTAGTGTCAAGGGAGCAGCGCTCAACCACGTTGATGTTCATGTTGCTCGGGATGCTATGAGTAATAAACTGTCTCCATCAGATGCAGTAAATATTACTGTCTACTTTTGGTACCCAAGAGGTTGAGGTTTTTCCCTGAGAAAACATAATCCAAACTAAGGAAGAAAAAGAGAAAAAACAAGAAAAAGCACAAATGGAAAAATAGAAAACAAATAGCAAGATGGAAATTGTGTGTGTTTGTGTGTGTGTGTGTGTGTGTGTGTGAGGAGGACTGGCCCTGAGCTAACATCTGTGCCAGTCTTCCTCTATTTTACGTGGGATGCTGCCACAGTGTGGCTTAACAAGAGGTGCTAGGTCCCTGTCCAGGATCCGAACCTATGAACCCTGGGCCACCGAAAAAGAGGGTGCAAACTTAACCACTTCACCACCAGGCCAGCCGCAAGATGGAAAATTTTAATCCAATTTGATATGTCAATGAAAGATAACCAGTTAAAAGACAAACCAGTAGATTTGAAAAAAAACAAAAGGCAATAATATGCTGTTTACGAGAAACCCAATTTAACTATAAAGAAATAAATGGGTTAAAAGTAAATGGATGGAATAAGATACACCACACAAATAGTAATCAAAGCAAATTGGAGAGGCAGTACAAATATCATTCAAAGTAGACTTCAAAAGGGTGTAGACTTCATCACTACTACCAGTGATGAAGAGGGATATTACATAATAATAAATAAAAGGTTCAATTCACCCAGAAGACTTAACAACCCTAAATGGGTATACGTCTAATAAGAGAGCTTCAGCAATACATGAGGTAAGAACCAACAGACCTAAAATAAGGAAGAGAAAAGTGTATTACAGTTAGAGAATTCAGTGCTTCTCTCAGTAACCAGTAAAACAAGTGGACAGAAAAAAAGTAAGGATATAGAAAACCTGAACACTATCGACTAACTTGTTCTGATTGAGACTTTTATAACACTTTACCCAACAACAGCAGAATAAACATTCTTTTCAGCTGCATGTAAAATGTTCACCAAGATCCATCATATTCTGGGCCATAAAACAAACCTCAACAAATTTAAAAGAATTTAAATCATACAATATATGTTCTATGACTATAAAAGAATGAAAATATAAATAATAACAGAAAGATATCTGGAAAACATCCCAATACTTGGAAATAAAAAAAAAAAATATTTCAAAATAACCCATGAGTCAAAGATGAAGTCCAAAAGGAAATTAGAAAAATATCTTGCATTGAATAAAACTGAAATGGAGCAGCAGCCACCAAACCAGCTCCCAATGTTCCTCGCCCTCTGTTTGTTAGTACCTTTATGTAGAACTCTGCTACACTGTATCAGCGTTACTCTATGTGACCAATAAGACATGGCAGAAATGATGGTATATCGCTTCCAAAATTAGGATTTTAAAAAAAAGACCACAGCTTCCATCTTGGGTGTGTGTTCTCTCTATCGCTTGGATCACTCACTCTGGGAGAGGCAAGCTATTATGTTGTCAACAGCCCTACAGAGAGGCCTACGTGGCAAGGCACTGAAGATTCCAGCCAACATCTAAAGAAGAGAGGCCTGCCAGCAGTCACATGAGACAACATGGAAGCAGATTCGCCGGCCCTGGGAGAGCCTGGAGATGTCTGCAGCCCTGGCCAGCAGCTTGACTGCAACCTGGTGAGAGACTGAGGCAGAACCATTCATCTAGAGCATTCCTGGATTCCTGATGCTCAAAACCTTTGAGGTTTGAGATAATAAATACTTCTTGTTTTAAACTGCTAAATTTTGGGATAATTTGCTGTGCAGCAATAGATATCATATAGAGATTTTGGTACTGGGTTGAGTGCTGCTGTAACAGCTTGAACATGTGGGAGCGGCATTAGAACTGGGCCATAGACTTTGAGAAGAGTGCAGTAAAAGCCTAAAGTGCCTTGAAAAAGTTGTTAATAGAAGCCTCGGGCCTTTGAAAAGGCTTCTGTGAAGGCATAAAAGAAAGTGAGGTAAATACTATTAGAACCCGGAGGAAGAGGAGTTCTTGTTATGTTGTGGTGCAAAGTTTAGCAACCCTGTTGCCTGCAGTAAAGTAGAAAGCAGAAAATGTGTCTAATGAATTGGGTGATCTAGTTAAGGATTTTTCCAAGAAAAGTGTTGAAGTGGCATCTTTCTGCTGCTTATAGTAAAATGCCAGAGGAGAGAGGGAAACCAAAAGCAGCACTTCTCAAGCGAGAGTGATGTGGGCTGCAGGAGGCCATTTGGCAATGTCCAGAGATACTCTTGCTTGTCACAACTGGAGAGGTTACTATTGGCATCTAGTTAATAGAGGCCAAGGATGCTGCTAAATATCCTATAATGCACAAGACAAACTCTCTCACTACCACTGCCTCCCCTGACATCAAAGAATTTTCCTGCCCAAAATGTCAATAGTGCTGAGGTTGAGAAACCCAGAACTAATAGGAGGGACTGTTAAACATGAAGGAGCCAAGACTTCATGGCAGAAAATTCTCAGTCTCTCCAAATGGCAAGTGATGGTAAAATTAAGAAATGGTTTCCTAGCAAAGCTCAAATTCAGAGTATTTCTAGGAAAACATGATCCAAAAATGAAACTGAGAAGGTGCCTATAAAATCTTTTGTTTACATCTCAGAAAGATTTAAGGCAATGCCTCAGAGTACTATTTAGTCAGATAAAAGACCTCTAAAGAAATTATAGGTGTGCCTCACAGATGCTGTGAATCAAATAATAGGCATTCTAGAAAGCTTAAAGGTGATGTCCTGTAGCCATTTCGGCAGAAGCCTAATGTAGTGAAGGGCTTGTCTCAAAGAAATTGTGGGCATGGTTTTTGTCTAATAGAGTAGACCTTTTTTATTCACGAAATTCAGAGTGATCCACAAGTTCTTAAAATGATTATGTATCCAGAAACATCTCCAGCTTGGACTTATATGGATGAAGAGAGTATAAAATAAAAAGAGGGCTTCCAGTTCAGAACAAGATGGAGTAGATGCATTCCTCTCTAGACTTCCCACTAAGTACAGCTGAAAGTGCTGGACAACACATAAAACAAACATCAAAAGGCAGACCATCCAGGAACCCCAGTGCTCAAATGATACAGCAGTGAGTCCCTGGGTTTTCTTTTTGCTAGGGTGCTGGCAAAGCCTGCAACCCTGGAACTACCAAAGAGCCATAGACAAAAATTGCCCCTATGAAAAGCCTGTTCTCTCTTGTCAGAGGACTCAGAAAGGGGCACTCCAGCAAGACAGAAATCTTTTGACCTTAAATGCCCCACTCTAGCAAAATCTCAGTCCCAACCTCCATGAGCAAAGGCAGAGGGGAAAGCCTAGACTTTAACGTTTGTCTTGTGGCAACAGGCACCTCTCCCCCTTACCTCCGGGTGGTGGTGGAGGAGGCTGAGTGGGGAACCTGGGCTTCATCCCTGCCCAGCAGCAGTGAGGCAACCATCCCTTTCCCCTACAGGCTGGTGTCAGGGGTCGGGGGGGGGGGGGGCCATTTGCGAAGCCTGGACTTTCACTCCCACCTGGTGATAAGGAGTTGGTGCCCCTATCTCACTGGCCCAGGTCAGCAGAGGCCTACTAAAACAGAGAATTAAATGAGATCCAGAGTCTCATAACATAATTTCTGAAATGTCCAGGTTATAAATGAAAATAACTCACCATACCAAGAACCAGGAAAATTTCAACTTGGACAAAAAAAGACAAACAACAGATGCCAAAGGATGACAATGATGTTGGAATTATCTGATAAGGATTTTAAAACAGTCATTATAAAAATGCTTCAACAAGTAATTACAAACATTCTTGAAATAAGTGAAAAAATTAAAAATATCAGGAAAAAAATAGAAGATTTAAAGAAGAAACAAATAGAAATCTTAAAACTGAACAAAAAGTGACTGTACTGGGTTGAATAGTGTCCTCCAAAAATTCATGTCTACCCAATACCACAGAATGTGACCTTGTTTGGAAATAGTGTCTTTGCAGATATAATTAGTTAAGATGAGGTCATACTGGATTAGGGTGGGCACAAAATACAATAACTGGTATCCTTATAAGAAGACTGTGTGAAAACAGAAAAATGCACAGAGGAGAACACCATGTGAAGATGGAGGCAAATGTCAGAATGACAGGTCTACAAGCTAAGGAATGCCAAGGATTGCTGGCAATCAGCAGAAGCTAGGAGAGAGGCATGGAACAGATTCTCCCTTGGAGCCTCCAGGAGGAAACAACACCTTGATTTGGGGGATTTTGACCTCCACAACTGTGCAAAAATAAATTTCTATTGTTTTAATCTATCATGTTTGTGGCAATTTGTTCCAGCAGCCTAGGAAACTAATACAGAAACCAAAATTTAAAAGAGAAAA